CCTGACGACACAGACTCTGATATAGAGAACGGAAATTCATCAAGCAGTCCTTGAGGTTGAAGAACATATTGACTCAACAAGTGGTGAGACTAGCCGAGAAGAACAAGGATCCTAGATCCTAACCTCCCCATCCTTGCATCTTCTGATGCATTTCGTGCCGACAAACGCCGGTTGCCGAGTGGAATCCATATTCATCCCTATGGGCCACATAATGCCAGGATCAAACACAAAAGCAAGTTTAAGCTAACTATTTCAGTTGTGGACTGCCAAGGTCATGAAAAAACGTAGAATAGACAGAGGCTACCGCTTCCGAAAACCATGTGTAGGTAAGTTATCTATCTGTTCCCATGAAGCTCACATAGGTAGACCGGACGAGGAAGCTCAGGAGTTTCAAACTGAAAGCATAAACTCCTTACAAATGAACGCCATGAGTTTATCGAATAGAACGCAAGAGCTGCGTGAACTCAGTAATCCTAATTATGCTCATCTGATAGGAATATCTGAAACATGGATATCTCCTCAGTTGATGGATCAGGAGCTGGCAATGCTCGTTATGCCTTTGTTTCACAACGACAGAACTAGAATGGAGGCGGGGTGGCGTTATACTTGCGATCTTGCCTATAGATACATCAAGTGCACAACTAAGAGTTTGTCAAACTTGATGAGTCCTTATGGTGCTCACTATGATCATCTACTACCTCGAGGTATCTAGTTGGAGTCATCTACAGGAAGTCCACTCCTGACATCAAGTATGACAATTATATGCTGGAAGGATTATCCCACTATACTCGTCTTGGATTCACTCATATCCTGATTTCAGTCTTCCCAAAGTCGATTTCCTGGAACATACGTACATTGGAGGTGAAAACTTTACTGAAGCTCAGTTCTTCAACCCTACTGAAGATCTAAGACTAATCGAAAATGTGGGGTCGGTAATTCATTGGGGAAACAGTCAAATATCGTCGCGCTTAGACTAAGTATTTAGAAACAAAAAATTCCTAATTAACAACCACTCAATTCTAGCTCCCCTAGGAAAGGCGATCGCGCCATCATAGCCTTTAGTTTTGCCAGCAAAACTGAGCCAAGGCATCCAATTTCAAACGGTTGTATGTGTCAGCTAAACTAGATAATATACATCAGGTGGACTGTAAAGTCCACCCTCAACTTGATGTGAATGTTCATTGGGATTACTTACTGCACACCACCTTATATGCTGCAAGTTAGTCTTTCCCTTAAAATGTCCCTGGAAACTTCAAGCAACCTACAGTTAGCAAGAACCGCTCTCTTTATTTGCTGAGCCGCAAGAGGCACTGCTGGGCGAAATACAAACAAACTAATAACAACGGAGCATATAGGCACTTCAAACAAATTACAAGCATATACACGAAGGTATTAAATGAATACAGGCTTCAGTATCAGACACTAACTATATTGACAAAAGCTTCGTCTGCAACTCCACAGAACTTTCAGAAGTGAACACGAACGCTGACTTGGTGATGTTCTCACATTCACTAAGCCGAGGCACATTAATGGGAAACTGGAGCTGGCTAATATCACAATAATTTTCAAAGGGGGTTGACGCAGCGAATCTTCTAGCTAACAACTGGTAGCACTTCTCTCTATGACCTCAAAAGTTATGGAGTCCCTGATATGCCACAGTCTTTTTAACCTACGACATGAAGTCTTACGCTAACTGCCTATGGGCTGCTAGACTGCCTAATGATGCCTAGCTGCATCAAGTGCTCGAACTCTAGCTTAGCAATTGTTAGTTTATGTGGGGGTAGTCTTCTTAGCCTGGCGCGTATTGGAGGGCCTGTGGTGGTAATGTGATATTGCACATGATGTGGGTCGCATTCTTTTTGATAGTCTATTTTCGTGATGCATTCGTGTTCTGTCAGTATGTCGTTGAAAACGTTATTCACAGGCTTCATTATTCGTACAACATGGATTTCATAGTCATTGGAAGGTGGGTTGTGTGACATGAGCAACTATGAAAACCCATGTAAATCTGCGGAGTCCGAGGTCTAATATAAGTGGTTGCTCTTCGTACGTTTTGATAACTGATTCGTTAGCCGCTATTAGGGACAGTTTAGTGCTTGTTGTCTGTTGTCTGAGGGAGAGATGGAGTGGGATGATACTGATTTCTGCTCCAGTGTCGACACTATCCTTGACTTGAAAGAGGTGGCTAACGTGTTGGCCGGTAACAACTGCCGCCATTACAGTCTGCCCGCTTCGTTTCCCTGATAGTTTGGGTTGTTTGTAATGAAGTTGCAGTGTTTAGTGCAACGGCATGCTTTCTCACCACAATTCGCATGATACCAAAAAATTCCGAATACCTGCTTGGATACTGATCTCTTTCTGGACGTAGATCTGGCAGGTCGAGAATGAATGTTAGCAATAGTCGCCTGTAGTGATGCTAACTGCTGTGTAAACTGTGTTGTTTTTTGCTGGATGCTGAGTGCGTCGCTCATGTCCTCTCTACTTGAGGACTGTATCGAGTTAACGCCGCGACTATCGGGATATATTTCTATCATCTTATCGGCTGTGTCTGCTAAATCATCAAGACTGACATAGGCTCCTGATATGCTGAGGATTTGTCTGACGTTATATGGTAGCCTTTGTAACCACAGACCAAAATGCCTTCCGATCAAAACTTGCACTGGTAACATTGAATTACATTTCAGCCAGTTCGATGGAAGAGCTTTCCATAAAATCTTCAACAGTTTCATTCGTCCTCATTTAGAGTACTGAAGCATAGTATTTCCTCCCTAAATGTAAGAGGATGAGAACACTCTAGAACGTATCCAACGACAAGCCACGAACTGGCTGCAATTAAACGCAACTCAGTTCAGGGAGAGCACTTCCAATAACTGAACCTCTATGCATTAGAGAACAGAGTCTTAGAGGCGACCTAATGGCTTACAGCATCCTAAATACTTCCGAAAATCCCCTAAACAACTACTTAAGCTTATTTCCGACACAAACCTTGGGAGTCATATCCAGAAACTGGAGATACGACACAACAGAATGGACTGTAGACACACATTATACTCCTCAAGAGTAGTCAAACTCTAGAATTTGCTACCGACTGAGCTAGTTCAATCGAGTTCCCAGGAGTCCTTTAGGGGTAACTTGACATATTCTTGAAGGCTAAGGACAGTAACTTACATTGATTCCCCAATTTTTTTATTTCTTCTCCTTTATCGTTCCTACTTGGAGGTACTGGTGATCCACTGTATGGGTAGAACGATTGATCTCCAAAACACCTTAAGTGTGTGCTACGCGAACGCTCGTAGTCTTAGAAATAAAACGTCCGAGCTAAGTCTGATGGTGCAAGAATTATGTCCCGATATAATCGTTGCTACAGAAACTTGGTTCACCGTTGATATAGACTGTTCTCCTTTCATTGCTGGTTATATCTGTATCAGAAGTGATAGAGTTTCAAGTCGCAAGGGGGGAGGTATAATATTTTACGTTAGGGATCACTTTCGTATACAATCAACCATATCGGAGGCTCATATCAGTGGCACATGTGAGGTTGCATGTTGCAAGATTAAATCTAGAAATGGGTTAGTGACTATAGGGGGAATATACCGTAGTCCGTCTTGTCTGGCTGACGACTTTATCCTAAGACACATCTGTTCTTGGAGTATGGCAGAATGTTGTCTCATCATTGGGGACTTCAACGCACCGCATATCAACTGGATAGAGCTTACAGCTCCAGGTAGTGGTTTCGATAGCGACCTTTTATCTACCGTTATTCAGTGTGCACTTGTACAATGTATCACAAAACCGACACATAGTGATTTGCAACATGATCCGTCAGTGCTGGACCTCGCCCTCACCCATCACTCTGAGGATGTCTTTGACATCCAGCACCTTCCTCCACTAGTGAACAGTGATCACGTTGTAATTCACTTTAAGTTTAGGACGCATGGTATACAATTCGTATCTGCTCCACCCCGTCCCAATATCTGGCGAGCTAATATTCCGGAAATCAGAAACCGTGCTATCTTGACCGATTGGTCGGTCGACGCGGATGGATTGATCGAAGATGAATGGAATAAGTTTAAGGCTACATTCGAGTCCGTAACGTCGCCGTTTATCCCATGGTCAGCACGTAAGCTATCACATTGCCCTCCATGGATTAATAAGGAAACCCGGAATCTGTTAAAGCGTAGGAAACATTTCTGGGACTTATTCTTGTTGACAGGTCATGCACCATTTAAGCGGGAGTATCAAAAATACCGTAATATCTGTAAGAAAACCATAGCGAAATCCCGTACCACTTACGAACGACAGTTAGTATATGATAGCCGTACTTGTCCGAAACGATTGTTTTCGTATGTTAAACGGCAAATGAAACGTAGTGATGGTATTCCCCCGTTGCTGTTACACGAAAATTCAGAATTACTAGCTGAATCAGATCGAGCAAAAGCTGAGACTTTTTCAGATTATTTTAGCGAAGTCTTCTCTACGTTTATTGTAACAAATACTTGTCCCACTCACACCGAGATACCAACCATTGAATCTGTACAGGTGACTGAGGAAACTGTCCTTCCGTTGATAACTAACCTCCAACCTGGTAAGATACCGGGCCCTGACGGGTTACATCCACGGTTGCTATCATCTCTTGCGGACATTATTTCAAAACCGCTTGCGACACTCTTCAACATGTCCCTCTCACTCGCTCAACTCCCTAGAGATTGGAAGGACGCTATAGTTAGTCCTATATTTAAGGACGGTCAGCGACAGATAGTATCTAACTACCGGCCTGTCAGTCTAACTAGCATAGTCGTTAAGTTACTCGAAAAGATAATTCGAGTTAGGTTGCTAAGCCACATAGATTCACACAATCTGTTAGCTCCTGAGCAACACGGATTTCGTAACAAGCGTTCTTGCTTGACTAACTTGCTTATTGCGAGGGACGATTGGACAGCAGCCCTAGATCACGGTCTGTCTGTCGACGTGATATTCATAGATTTTAGCAAAGCGTTTGACAAGGTTTCACACGTAGGTCTTATGCAGAAGCTCACGAGCTTCGGAATAATAGGTACTGTACATGAGTGGATAGGAAATTTCTTATGTGACCGCAGACAGAGAGTTAGGGTCAACGGAACGCTATCCGATTGGAAGCCGGTCAAAAGTGGTGTACCCCAAGGCACCATCTTAGGCCCTCTGCTCTTCCTTCTCTACGTTAATGAGTTACCACTGTTACTTAGGTCGTCGACATTATTGTTTGCAGATGATGTAAAAATCTGGAGAACAATAAAAAGTGCGGCTGATCATGTGGATCTTCAAGCTGACTTAGACGATTTAGTTAGATGGGCTCGAGAGTGGAGCTTAGAAATCAATGCTAGGAAGAGTGTACTAATGCACATCGGTCACGGTAATAGTTACCGTTATTCTATTGAGGGTAAACCTCTTCCATGCGTTCAACAGCATAAAGACTTAGGAGTAGTATTAAGTCATGATTTAAAAACAACTACGCATTGCAAAGTAGCCGCTGTCAAAGGTTTTCGTGCGTTATGGTCACTTCGCCGAGCGTTCAAATCTTTTGACGAGGAAATGTTTCGAATTTTATATCCCATATATGTTAGACCACATTTAGAGTACTGTTTCCAAGCAGCTAGCCCATGTCTGGTAAAGGATACTAACTCCCTTGAGCGTGCCCAGCGTGTGGGAACGAAATTAGTGAAGGGTTTTTCTAAACTCCCTTACGATGAGCGTTTAAAACGCCTAAATCTTTTCCTCTTGTCGTATCGTAGGACACGAAGTGACCTTATACTGGCATTTCGTATCTTTAATTATGATTTGGGTGTTAATATGTCTTATCTTTTTGCTACCTCCAGCACTAATAATCTCCGAGGTCATAGCAAGAAGGTTCATAAACCACGATCTAATAAACTTAAAGTGGGATCCCGTTTTTCTCATCGAGTAGTCAATCATTGGAACGCCTTACCCGAACAAGTGGTATCAGCCCCATCAGTGAATACTTTCAAGGAAAAGCTGGACCTTCACTGGAAAGCAATGTGTCAGGATTAACACAGGTTCATCAACCTACTATCCTTATTACTGAAGACTGAAGACTGAAGACTAGTTACGGAAGCCCGTTAAGCGAAAGCTTCTTCTATTTCGTCCAAAACCATTTGAACCATTTGACCCATTTGACCCTGAAACATTACAATTTCTGAAGGTTAATTAGTTGTATGTACATACGGGACAGATTGGTCGCATGAGTTTGTCCACTGAACATAATAGTGCTACTAATAGTGAGCAAGAAAATCAGCCAGATAAAGTGATACTTCTGCTTAAGGCTGCTGGAAATGCTCCTGTAATGAAAAAGATGAAGTGGTCTGTAAGCAGGAAGCAGAAAATCCATTGGGTAGTGGATTTTATAAGGAAATATATATCATGTGCTCCTTCTGAATCTTTATTTCTCTACGTAAATCAGTGTTTCGCACCGGCCATGGATGCTGAGATAGGTTCATTGTATGACTGTTTCAGTGTAGAAGGAAAACTAATTTTACATTATTGTAAAACTCAGGCGTGGGGATGAAAATATATTTTCTGTTTATACTTATACTTTAACTCACACTTTTATTTCCTTTTTAGTTCAATGCAGGCTCGGCAAGTAAAAGTAGATGGTTTGTTCCTAGTTTTCGACTAACATTTTTTGCCAGTTGGTAATTTAATCAGTTACTTTATTGAATCTGTGATTCATTTGTATTTATACGAAAGAAATGTTTACCCCCGTGCTTCTTTTACTGACTTTGTCGCTTTTGGCCTGCATTTAAAGGTAATCTATTGCAATTTCTTGTAACTTTATCTATATAATATGATTATCAGAGATGAAAAACAAAAGCATGTATGTGCTAAAGTAGTATTTTCCTTGATTTTCTGTATCAATGAACTGCCTTGTACGCCTAATAGTAGTTATATTTAAAGATGTAGCATTCAGCAAATCACCTGGTTTGTCCCGATGTGGCTGTTTTATTTCCGTCAATTAGATGGTAGAGAATGTAATCCCATCTAGTATTGTTAGACTGTGACAAATTTCGATTGTTTTATGTCATGTGTGTCAGTCTTGCGTGTGATAATCAGACAGTATTGTGGGGGTTTAAACAGGAAGATAAGATTATGGTCTGTAATCAAGCCTATAAGTAGCATTTCACAATTACATAATGTCATACAACATAGGTATTCAATTATTCTAGAGAAATTGAACATTAATATCCCTTAAGGACTATAATCGTGATTTTTCTGTAATTCTTGTGAAATAAACCTAACTGGCATCTTTTCAGTACCCTGAAAGCCAGATTTAGAAAAATAACGTTACTTTCATTTTACAGCGTTCAGTGGCGTTTTTATAGGCAAGTAGTCTATAGCTTTATTTAGGTGCCCCAATTAGGACAACAAAAATGCATCTCGAGTTTCATTTTTAATTTATTGGTGTTATTATGCTTAATAGTTTAAGTAAAACGCTTCTCTATGCATGAAGTATATTTGGTGGCCATAAAGTTTCCTAAAATGTTAATAAGTGCATAGAACTGTTAGATTTTCTATATTGCCATTAAGAATATGTTTCTAGTGCTCAACGCATTGGTACATAGGTAATTTTTAACCCTCATTAGTTTAAGCCATATAACCGGGTATTATTATCAAACATTAGACTGAAAACACCTGGTTCAAAATCGATTTTATAAATTTTAACATGACAAATGAGTCATATCTTTTTTGAACCACCTTCCTAAGCAATAATTCTAATGATGTAAATAAGCTTAATACACTCATTTGCTTTATTTTTATGAGCCTTGACATCTCTTCCAGCACGCGTTCTCTCAACCTCCCGATGGTCATACTAACCCTACTTCACCATAGTTTTCCTTAGATTTCCGCGTATCTACTGATGATGATCTAAATCCTTTTCGAACTGCAATTCCATCTAAAATCTAGGGTTTTCTCCATTCATGCTTATCAAACCAAGCATTAACAAACGAATAGGAAGGTTAAAGTTTCACATTGACTTTAACTTTCTGGGTTGTGTATGTACGTCATACCTTTTAGCTGCCATCGGTTGACTCCAGTTGAATGACTTTGATGTATGGAATATAATTCTCCACATAATTTCATATACAATACACATATTGTACCAAAATATAACATTCAATAAAGCCATTAATAATAAGTTATAAGGAGCATCAGTGGTAATAAACGACCACATATCTACCATTCGTCAGGAATGCGCTCCTCTCCCTCTAAATGCAAGTTGTTGCTTCAGGACTGACCTGCGTCAACACTTGAACTAAGGATAGGGAGTGAAGTAATCGAACGTGTTAACAACTTCACTGATCTTGGAAGTCTGGTCAGCCCTAATGGGTTGGTGTCTGACAAAATCTCAGCACGGATTCGGAAAGCTCGTTTGTTTTTTGCCAAATAACGTCACCTATGGTGAGGTCGAGATATCCATCTTTCAATGAAATGACGAGTATACTACGCGACAGTTCGTTCTGTTTTACTTTATGATTGCTAAATGTGGCCATTAAGAGTAGAAGATAGTCGTAAGCTACTAGTATTTGACCACAGATGTCTTAGAAATATTGCCAGCACTTGGAGGGATCAGAGGGTAAGTAATAGTGAGGTTAGACGCAGAGTATTAGGGAATGATGGTTAATCAGTTGATAAGGTTGTAAATCTTCACCGACTGAGATGGTTGGGCCACGTGTTACGTATGCCTGAATACCGATTACCACGACGTGCAATGCTGACTAGTGTTGGGGATTTTTGGATGAATGTTAGGGGTGGCCAGATTCGGATCAGTCATTCAAAGTCTCTAACCATTGGTTACGATGATCACGCAAACCCCAACCATGTAGTTTAAACCCATTAACACGACTCAGTTCAATTGTCAGTGACTTTATGGACAGATGCCATGTTTTGGTATGGTCGCCCCTAACTCTCAGCCTACTACTAATACACCACACAACATCGCCCATTAAGGTTGGTGGTGGTTAGGCATTCATAACACATGTACCAACCACCTCAGCTGTTATAGATCTACCACCTCATCAGTCAATTTGCCATCCTACTCCGTGGTTCGAAAATACACGAGGAATGCTTCAAACACCTATGATAGAATACCAGTAACCTACGAACATCCTCTATTCTTAATGTCTATATTTCACATTCATAATGTAGAACGGACCAAACTGCTGCACAATAAACCTACCCTTTGGTTGGAAGACGGATATCTCTCTCACGCCACAAATAGCTCAAGCCGACGAAAGTCAATTGAGCCTTCCAACTCCTTCCAAGACTCCGTCAAACACCAGACCGTTGTTGCTACCTTGACGTGGTGGTCGGGTTTGCCTATCGTGATGAAGCAACCGAGCTATGCTGGCTGGAACAACCGTTCCTCAAGGTTCTACCATGTCAGACAGGTCGGTTGAAGAGCGGTAAGACTAAAAGCAACAAACCCAAGGTCCGAAGGCGAAGTCGTACTGCTGACTGTACAGAGGTGTGACAGGATTAAGGTGTTTCCTTCAGACAACCAGCATAACAGCGATGCTGCCTTCCCACAAGGAGGGGTGGGGTTAGAAAAGGTCGACCCTAAAAATGCACACCTCGCCTTATCCCACGGATATCCGTCTCCGGCGGTAAGGTCCCAAAAAGTACGGAGCTAACACAAAAATTACCCATAAAGAGGTCGTATGTGACCGACCTCAAGCAGTTGTCCCTTGGGCACTGCGGTCACGCTCCCAGGTCACTAAGACCACCTCTAATCCAATTTCCTTTTCAGGTACCTCCAGAACAACCCTTCCACGGTGTGGGCAATCGGGAAGTGATAACCGCCCTCATACCTCTAACAGTACTCAAGACCATTGTATTCATAATCAACCTCCGTCTTCACTTCCTATTATTCCTCCTACATCGACTTTCACCTCTAAACTTCCTTTTTCGGCTTCCCCCTCAAGTGTCACCATAGCCAACGATTCTAGTGCTCAAAACACTGTCCCAGTTCTACTGAAACCTCTCTCCAAACTACACATTGGAGCCTTCAACGTACGCACCGTATGTCAAATCGGTCAACAGTCTTCCTTGGCTAGAACCCTAGAATCTCGTATCATTGATGTATGCTGTGTCTCTGAAACACGCATACAGGATTCCAGTGTGGTCATTCACTTGAACTCACCTCGGCAAAACGGAGAGACAACGAGATACACCCTCCGTGTATCTGGTGACGCGATGGCCAGCTCTCGTGGACTGGCAGGAGTAGGGATAGCACTAGGCATGAGGGCGGAACAAGCACTGTTAGAGTGGATCCCCGTTAACAGTCGTTTATGTGCTGTTGGGCTAAAAGGCTCCGTAAGAACTCGGAAGGATAGGGACACACGTCGTTGCCTTTTTGTCGTTTCTGCCTACGCTCCCACCGACTGCAGCTCAGATGAAGTGAAAGATGAATTTTACAGAAAGCTATCTGAACTTCTTCAGAAAGCTAAACGTTGAGACATAGTACTCGTAGCAGGTGACTTTAATGTCCAGATAGGTAGTTTAAACCAAACAGAAAGGCATTTAGGTGGGTATTTTAGTATTCCGACACAGCGAACAGATAATGGTGATCGTCTGCTGCAACTGTGCTCAGACAATCGTTTATTTTTAGCAAACATAAATTTTAAGCATAAGGAGAGACATCGTCTAACATGGTGACTCCCTACACCAAACCAACGATGGACTCAAATAGACCATATTGCCATCAGTCGTCGTTGGAGAGGGTCGGTAGAAGATTGTCGCTCATTCTGGAGTACCTGCTTGGACTCCGACCATGCCCTAATACGGGCACGCATCTGCTTGCGCCTCACTGGACGCAAAAAAGCCACAGTAAAAAGACCCATTAGAACTGAATTGAATGGCGAGAAAACCAAAAGTAGGTTCCAGGAACAACTGAGGTCACAATTAGGTAGTTCTGAAAATGAGGTTGACCCAGATGTTGCTTGGAAAGCTATACCAACAGCTGTGGAAACAGCAGTGACATCCATCAGTGATTTAAGCCACAGGGTTACAAAGAACCAATGAATTTCCTTTAGGTCTATTGCACTGATTGATTCTCGTAAACTCATCCCATCAGGCTCTGAACCCAATGAAGAGCGACAACAAATCAGATCTAGGTTAAGCAAAAGTCTAAGGAACGACCGTGAGCAGTGGTGGGCAACGAAAGCAAAAGAGATGGAAAAGGCAGCGGCTATAGGGACACACAAGACAGCTCTACAGACTAATAAAAGAAACTGGAATTAATAAGTCAAGTGTGAGACTATTTTGGAAAAATACGATACTCTCATCTGCTCCCAGTCCAGACGTTTAGAACGATGGGCGGAACATTTCAGAGAACAGTTCAGCTGCCCGAACACTGATTACCACGACGTGCAATGCTAACCGGTGTTCGGGATGGTTGGAAGTTAGGGGCAGCCAAACCAAAACGTGGCATCAGTGCTTGAAGTCACTAACTTCTAGTCTGAGCCATGTTGGTAGATGCAGACAACTTGGTTGGTGTCCGCGTGACTATCGTAACCAATGGTTGGAGACTCTTGGTGACATGGTTCAGAATTGATGACAGTGGCGTAGGTGCTTACACTCTGTCTTTCCTTAAACTAAGAGATTGAAAGCACTTCATATCTTTCTTTCTACGAACTAATTCTTTCTTCCTGTACTATATCCTTATTGCAGTCTGTCTTTTACATATTACCACTTCTGAATTAACTACTTGTATGAATCCGGTGTCCATCTTGTTGTGTTAATGAGGTATGGCAACCTGGACCGATGCATATATGTGCCTGGTCCTACGTTGTAGCTGA